TCTGAATTGATAAGTACCATTATCACCAAAGGATGCGAAAAATAGTTGTTATCTAAACTATATTGTTATCTAAGGATTTGCGTAGAAAACTCGTAGATGTGCAAGTAAAAGAAAAATATGCATTAGGAATTCAACAGCACGACTCTTCAACTTGAAACAAAGCATGTTTCATATAGCAGTACTGCATCGACATGCAAGTATATTCATTCTGATATATGAATTAGGATCAATGAAGGATGTGATAGCAGGCTAACAGCATATAAAGATCATATGGGCAACAACAGGTTACACCTAGTGGAAAAATTACCAGATCAGAATCGAATGAATGTGGTTTCTGGTGCTGCTCTGCAAATGCAACGAGAGTTACTACGGTTCAAGCACATACCACTTTATCAAAAATCAATCTCCATTTTTTTTACTATTCCCCTTTCAATATTTTCTAGGTTTGATTAAACCAGTTAAAAGTTTCATTCCACAATTTATATCAACTAACATATATATTGAACTTCAATCCAAAAAGCTTGCTACATATTGTTCTAAGAATCTTTGTTTTTTAAATTTCAGCAAATTCAGATAGTTAAACTGATCTTGGGGGGACTTCCTTGAAAAATCTTGTTCATTTGCTTTATGTTTCACAAATATATATATAAAAAATCCATCCTCTGATGCAATAATATAAATCCAATATGTAATAAATACAGTATTAATGTGTCATCCTTCTGTAAGAAATCAAGTAAAGAATATATATATATATATATATATATATATATATAAAATCCATCTGCTGATGCAATAATATAAATCCAATATGTAATAAATACAGTATTAATGTGTCATCCTTACCGTAAGAAATCACGTGAAGTAAAAATGGAAAGAGTAGGGGACAATCAAGTTTTTCAACTGTACTATAAGCTTCAATTAATCAAGTACTAGAAACAACATAGGAGCATTTGGTATAGTGTATATATCATCTAACAAGTTTCAAAGAACTTCAAGCATATTAAATTATGCTGCAGTTACCCGAACAGAATTTGAGAGAAAACATCAAGAGAAGAAAGCATTCTATTCCTGCCCTAAAAAAACCTTGTTTTCTTTGTTGAAATGATTCTAGGTCAAGAGGAAGTAAGTGTACAAAATTACCTTACCATTGCATTCATGGTTTCCTGTAGTCTTTGCTGCAGCCTTTAGCTTACATGGGGGAAATGATAACCATAAAGGAACTCTTATATATCTAAAGAGAAGTGCATTTAAGGTTTTTGCTATATCGGATGCTGATGATCGGCCTCTCTACGCTTTTCATCTCTACGATAAGCATGATGGTAGCCTTTACTACAAACTTCTGCGCAGCTCATCAGCATGGACTTGATTTGGCCCCTGCAGTTATTTTTGCATTTGCAGCTGTACCTCCATTTTTATTTGCTTTTCTGCAACATCTCCTCTTATCTGATATGTTCTACTCAACCTATCGTTTAAGAATTGTGTTTCAACCAGGTGATTCTATGATTCATTAGGCGACGCAAATTTGTACCAAACTTAAAATATTGATCGACATTGTCTGCCATGCACTATATAGCATATTTTTCACTTGATATTATGTTTCATAAATGTTTTTAAAAAAAATTTAAAAAAAATATTTTGAATTAATATATTTTTAATATTTTAAAATTATTTTCATATGTTGATCTTAAAAATGATTTTTTAAAAATAAAAAAATTATTACTATATTTTTCAAAATAAAAAAAATATTTTAAAAAATAACAATAATTACATTTTCAAACACAATATCACAAAAAAAAAACCAGAGAAAAATGATATTAAGTTTTAAAATTGTTATATCTTTTCATTCAAAAAGACGCTTTAATTCATTTGAATATATAGGTTGGAGGTTTTAGTAGACAACCAAAAGCATTTCCAACCCATTACAGGAAGTAATCCAGAACTCATAGAAAGTATTACAAATATTAAGGAAATCTATTATTTTCTCATGTGTTTCCAACCAACTTGTTGTCCCTCTTTATATGTATTGACAACAGAATTGTAAATAGTAATCGAAAATCAAAATATTATAAAACATGGAATTATATTACGTAATAAGGTAATTGAAACCGGATTCAACCGGTACTAAATGTTCATGAGTGTTTATGAGTGGAGTAATATTATTTATTTAGAAATACATTAAAATAATATATATTTTTAAAAAAAAAACTCATTTTTAATATTAGCATATCAAAATAGTTTAAAAATATAAAAATATAAAAAATAATACAATCACGTATGTATTCATATAATTAGCATTCTCAACATAAATATATAGTCACAAAACATATGATGTTATCAATTTAGCTGAGACTCTCTTTCATTAAATAGAAAAAAATTTAATTTATATTTTATAAAATCTACTATTATTAACTATAATCTTTGTCTAATTATAAAAAGTCAATTACACTAGGATTATACAAATATTTATAAATGTTTTCTTGACATATATATATATATATATATATAAACTAATGATTTTATTGAAAAGAACCATGCTAACAAATATCATCATTCTACACCAAACTAGAATCACGCATATATATATATATATATATATATATATATATATATATAAACTAATGATTTTATTGAAAAGAACCATGCTAACAAATATCATCATTCTACACCAAACTAGAATCACGCACATAGTTTGGTCTTTTATTTAATCTTTTAATTGTGTTGTGTATTTTTATAACAAATCAGAAGCAAGTGATCTACACAAAAATAATTCAATCCAGGAGAAAAACATTTTAGGTAAAAAAACAATGAAATGTGAGAGGCTTCATAGTGCACTTTGCAATACTTGTAATTTAATTATAACTGTAATTAATTCTAATTAGTATACCATTTTTCAAGAAAAAAAAATTAGGTGTTCACTGTAACTTATGAAATTGTAAGCGAAGCGGATACCT